TTAAACACTCAACGTTTCGCTTTACAGCTTCTTCAGGAATATTCACTAAAACACAAACCGAAATTGACAGTACAAAGCGAACACTGAAATAATGATGGAAAGTATACTTATATAGTTTCTATACTACATTAATGCAATACCATTCACGAATTGCTTCTTTTTTAGTTTATTAATTATGCGTTAAAATTATCATTAAATTAGGACAAATATCGTCCATAATATTTTTACCTTGGAAGTTGACAACAGTATTATAAAAAAAAAGTCCAAAATAATGCATGAAATATAAACTGTAGGTAAAGAAAACTTATAGATGTAGTTTGATGTGCACAATAAAGCAAAATTGAATAATAATCTAGAGACAAATGATATACTATTTATTTAATTTCTGTAGTGCATATTGGTGTATAAAAGATATTTTAATACCAGCAATAAACGCTCTATAACAACAAATTTGTTATTTTTCTGTAAACCATTTGAAGCTTTCTATGTATGGTGAAGTAAAACGGACTCAAAACACCATATGTATTATATACACTTCACCATTATAAAGAGGCCTAATTGTATTTCTTTGGTTTGCTGACCCGAGCTGTGCTGATGAGTCTTGAATAGGTGAAACTGTACTTCACAGTAGAAGGTATGGCCAATCAATGAATGTATTAGGTCTCTACATTACAGGTTCTCTTTACAATTTCACCTCTGTATATATATGCAATCATTTGAAGCTTTGTACTGTCAATTACAGTTTGTGTTTTAGTGGAACGCTCCAGTAGAAGCTGTAAAGTGTAACGTCGAGTGTCCAATTAAAGAAATATAATAACTTTTTTGTTATAAGGTCGTTTATTTCTAGTATTAAAATGATATATTATTTTTGTTTTGTTTTTAATGTGTTCTTTAGTCTAATTACGCTTAAATAGAAAAGTAAGTTATTTAATAACAATTATATAGTAATTTAACTATATTATTTTTAAAACGCCAAATTATACACCAGGCATGAACTGACATAGGAAGAAAATTTTCAATGAGTCCCATTATTATTTTTAACTGGACTTTACTGTTTTTAGTTGGACTCAATGGGTTACAACGGATCCAGTTTACTTCAATGGGACAAAATCTTTATTCCATTGATTGTTTGGGAGAAGACAATGGGAATAGTACAGGTTTTAATGGAACTTTTTATTGGCAGCTGGAAACCCATTTGAGATACAATTTGTTCCAATTGTCTTCAAAGGGGCAAACTGAATTTCCTATTTGGGAGTTATTCCTTTATCTTTCTGCAGGGCCATTTACCTCAGTTATGTGATATTTGGTTTGTCTCTCAGCCTTCATGATAGTAAAATATTTCAATGTCTGTTGCTTTAGACTTTCTCCCATGCAGTTTCTTCAAGGTCAGATGATAGTGGGCCTTGCCCCTTGTATGCATGGATTATGGGAACCAGCTAGATGCCTTAATTACCCCACACAGCGGCATAACCAAATCCTTATTGGGGAAGGGGTGTGTTGGGGGCTGATGGGAGGGCGTGGAATTAGGGTAGGAGGGGCTAATGTAGGCTTAGGCGTTTAACTTTTTTAGTTTTCTGGTGATGTCATAGGGAGGGTGTTAGAGGTTTGATTTACAGATCAGAGTCATGATCCCCTGGTTAAACCACTTCACACACATTACATGGAAGCACACATCGCTCAGGATGGTACTTCTGGTGCCATATTTAGATCCCACGGTAACCCCCTCTGTGAGTTTTTGTAGCTAAGCAGGTATATTGGTAGCATTAATAACCAAAACGCTATAATACAGAAAAGTTGCAGTAAATTCTGCGAACAAGTTTATTTTGAGTAAAAAAAACTGCTGGTCCAGTTCAAATATTGAAAAATATAGTGAAAAGAATATACTGTGTAAAGATACAAGAACCAATTTCTTCATCCTCCTAATTCTTTTTCCGTATACATGAAAGACTCCCAAATCTTCAATAATGGGATGCGAGCGGGGAACCATCATATACATAGTCCCGTCACGTAAACCATTGGGCCACATCTGACCCAAATTAATGTGAATTATCAAACTAGATATATTAAAATATATTCTTAAAGTTAGAGAAAATCTCTTCATTGGTGTAATTTGATAATGAAAATGTAACCATTTAGTTTTAAGTTCAGAACAATTTTCATTTAAAATTATTAAGCAAACGAAAATTTGCTTTAAGAATTCTAAGTTACTTCCAAAAATTCTACTCACTTATAATTTGTATCATCCCAAAATTCCACAAACAACATATAATATTGCAATAAAAAAATGTTTTATTATTCTAAGTAATGTTCTAGCTTTCTGAGCATTCAAAAATGTTTGTTTGTAATTATGCATAAAGCTACACAATGGGCTATCTATGCTCTGCCCACCACGGGTATCGAAACCCGGTTTCTAGCGTTGTAAGTCCGCAGACATAACGCTGTGCCACAGGGGGGGGGGCATTCAAAAATGGAATGGATTTATATAAAATTGGTATTTTAAATTTACATTAGCGTATATCAGTTATACATTTTACGAATGATTTTGTTTGTAATTAAGCACAATGGGCTATCTGTGCACTGCCCACCACGGGTATCAAAACCCGGATTCTAGTATTGGAAGTCCGCAGACATAACCGCTGTGCCACTGGGGGGCTTTTTCGAATGATATGATAAATATTTATACAATGAATATACCAGTAAATATTGTAATATTACAAAACTTTTAAACTAGAGTTAACATAATTTTACCAAACTGCATTAAAAATATTTCTTTTGTAAATTCTAAATGAAAGTGTAATGATCAAAAGACGAGTATTCCTATGGATATTAATTGCAGGTGTGTGCGAAATATCTCTTCCTTTGTGAAACAAATTTCTTGAAAAAACAAGTTCTTTGAATGGAAAATAACAGTTATTCACTATCTAATCCTCCAGTGAGGCAGCGGAAAGTGTACGAGCTTACAATGCTAAAATCCTGGGTTTGATTTCCCATTGTGTAGTTTTGCGCTAAAACAACAATATGAATTAACCATTAAGTAACATTCTCACACACATTGAGAAACTTCACTGAAACTACCGAATTTTCTTATGAGGCACATACTCTTCATTTCAATATATACTTACCCATTAAAGTCGCAAGCAATATCTAAGATAAAAGACAGTATTACAGAAAGCAAGATTCGGACGATTTTAAATGAAATATCCCAACTTTAAAATCTTCTATTTACTACCACCGAGAACACGAAAAATTGGTCAATTTTAATTCCAGAAAAAAATCATTCACGTATTTAAATTGATTAGAAAACTCTTATCATCATCATGTTTAGTGTCTTCCTCACTGATATTAATAATTTTTACAAGCCGTGCAATGTTAAATGAACAATTTTGTATTCGAAACGGTAATTATCATTCAGTTACTTAATGAATTGGTAGCTATATTTTCGAGTTTTATTCCATTACAAGATTTTTCAACCGGTGTATTTATACACATGCCGGAAGAACGTTTCCTGTCTTACATTTATGCTAAAAGAAAATAGAAAGTGTTTGTGCACAAAAACATAATTGTATCATATACTCCGTTATAAAGTATTGAAGATAACATCGTTCACTCTGTTGGGATAACAAATAAGTCTGTCTTCACAGATAAAGCATACAGTCTTAAAGCCAAGAAAAATATTTAGCTCACATCCTGTATTGACGTCTTACTTTTTGTATGTTTGTTCCATCTGAGAAAAATACTCTACACATTGTGGTAGATTCATCACTGACCTACATTTTATCCACTGCTACATTTTCAATGTCTACAAAGACTTGCTAGTAAGTAAGAGGCATTTTTAACACTTCAAACTACTCGGTGCAATTTTCTGTACTGATCAGCTATAGGAATAGATATTTATAATTTATTTTGCGTTAATTTGGGGGCCTGCAATATGAAGTGCCGTCGGTGCGTTGCCCCGATGGCACCGACGTTAAATACACCACTGTAGGAAGTCCTGGTGTTTTTGTAAAGTATCCAGATTTAGTAATTCTATCAGCATGTAGACTTATTCGTGTCTATAACTTCTTATTGACAAGAAGTATTTATACAAATCTAAGTCATTTCAAATCCCACATAATTATCCTTATTATACTTTAATTTTTAGTCCAATTTTTTAATAGCGTTAAACATAGTTTACCAAGTCTACATACTTATAACCAAGTATAAAATCAAAACTGTCTTGGATTTTGCATATTTACAGCTTAGCTCATTTGACACGGTAAAACCGGTATGTAAATTCCAGTGCATGCCGATTCATGATTTCTTTGACTATTACAAATTCGTTACTTAATTTTAATTGATTGATAATTGATTTTTATATATAATTGAAATTTGAAGGTACTGTAACGAATGTGTTTATTTCTTTAAAAAAATATATTAAGTTATATAATAACTTGCTCTTGTAGAAGTTGAGTTCCTACGATTGTTTTGCTTTTCTCAGTTTAAACAATTTAGCTGGGTGTTGGAGATTTTCCAGAATACACGACATGAAGTTGTCCTTATTAGAATAGGTTCTACGTAAAGCTATTACTGAGCAACTGAGATTGGCTATGACTCTAGGTGGGGCAAGAGTGCAAACACGAACTTATGTTTTTTAAGTTATAACAGAACTCATTTTTCACATTGTTCTGAGTTTTTTTTATATCACTGAAAAAGAGAGCATAAAGTCACATTTCTAAGTGCTCTATATTGCTTTAGTATAGTATAAAAATATTATGTATCTTACTCTCCCATAGCATATATTTACTATCTACAAAATTCGTAAATCTCTCTAAATTCCGAATTTAGAAATCCTACATCCGGTAGAGATCATGCGATACTCTCAACCTCAGGTGTTACTTTTTGTGGCTTGAGCAATCAAGAAACTTATCAACTGTTTGGTGGGATAGCTGCAGTATATCCTTCTTGACCTTCTGTTTGAGGGATACATTGCAGTTGTCACAAAGATAAGATATTTCTACATCCTGGTGCCCTTTTCTGACTAGCCAGCCGCAACAATGTGGTTTATGATATGTAGTTTTGGCACTCTAGATGAATGCGGACCGAGTTTTGAGAATAATAGTTCACCCAGTCAAAACTAGTTGTGGAAGTCTAGCCCTTTTATCATCTTTGTACCTGCTTCTCATGTGAGCTGCAGTTGAACCCATTTCATTTATTTGCATTTACTTGTATTATTTTTCTTTGCAACAGTACTACTACTCTGAAGGTTAACGGTACCTTCCAGCTTCTGCCTATGTATCAAATAGTGCTTGTTATTTTTTTTAATTGACTTCAACACCATTTCTTGTCTTTTTTATTCCACCTCTCATAAATCTCTGCACTTTCATTCTGCAGATTAGATCTACAAATCTCTCACTTTTGCAGAAATAAGGTGGCTTGAACTAGCACAAAAGTAAGATTTACATTCAAAAGTTAATCCTGATAACAGAAATATTTTTATTTCATTTTCAGCTAAAATGTTCTTCTGAAAATGGAATGAACTTAGATATTTTTGTACATAATGATACAAACATTGATTTCCATGTACTACAAAGTCAAAGTGGTTTGTTTTATGATAGAGCTGGCTCTTCAATGTTCAGATGAGTGATGAATCTCAGTTGCTTCTGCAGAGAAGGACGCAGCGTCCGGATAATTCCTTCAATATCGTTCTTGATGGAGTCTCCTGTAAACATATACTTTATGTGATACCTGATTTCTTGGTTATGGAAAGAAATACTTGAAAGACCAGAGAAAAATTCCTGAAAAGACAAATACTTAAATGTAGGGTAATTACATACATGATGAACAATGCAAACTTAATGGCTTCAATATCAGATTACAGAAAGTATTGAGAAATAAATATGTATAGCCACATACAAGTTTCCATCACACTAATTTCTTTTATTGATATTTTTTCTTAATCTAGTTACCTTTTCGCTTATAGATAACTAAATATATCAAAGCTCATAAGAAAAATAAATAAGCAAGCTTCTCAGGACCATGGGGATTTTTCTTTGTAATTCTTGTAAAAATTTATATCTGGGTAAACATAGACAAGTTTTTGTGAAACAATTAATTAAATATAGAACAGTGTATTACAAATAATGCTTGGAGACGGTTTGAATGGGTAATGAAGAAAAACTTTAATATAATTCAACATAACAGCAAGTGTACAATGTTTCAACAAGGTTTTGTCATCATAGGTACTACAACTTTAAATTCCACTGTTTCTTTTAATAAAATATTTGATAGTAATCATCATCATTAGTACTCTTAGAGTACAGAATCTCAACTGGAAAGGTCCTTGAGAACACACAGTCTATTTTTGTTTTAAATGGTAGGTTTATTTGGTCAATGCCAAATAGCTAGGAAGTACTTTACAAGTTTTCAAACTGAAAATTAAGATATTGCTTAAAATGTTAAAAAACAACAACTTTCAGATATGGCCCTTAGGCTTTGAGTTAATTACTCAAAGTTTGTGAGGATTTTGCCTTTAGTTGAAAGAGTTCACAGAGCCTGAAAGATTGAGAAAATTTCTCAAAAAATTCAATGTAAATAACAGCATTGGTAAAATGTGTTAACCAACAAAAAATATCAATGTCACTACTGAGATTAAGTGTAAAATACTGAAGAGTATCACCTAATTACTGATGCTCGAAATAAGTTGTGAGATGATGAACAGTGTATGTACCAAACACTTTAATTGACACTTAGAACAATGAGGATTTATATTACAAAAATCACCCCAAGATTCATGTCCAAATTTAAAATAATTATTGCATTCAAAATCCTTCTTCCTATAAATTTGAACTTTTATCATATTCTCCTAAAATACAAAGTGTAGCATATACTTTTAATTAACTCATTTCCTTCCTACTGGTGTGAATTAATTAATTATACTTAACCCATCAAGGTGTGAACTATGAACTACTTATTACAATTGAATATTTACTTCCTGCATACAGATGTGAAAAATAACTACTATTACGTTCACTACTTTTCCTAATAAGTGAAAGCCACTTATTATAATCATATACTCCCTCTTCCCTAAACATATAACATATGTGTGTATGTACTCACAACAAAATGTGACTGAATCATATATCTCCCTCTTTCTTATATGCTTAAAAGAAGTCTACATTGAACATATTGTTTGTATTGATGAGTGTCAATATACCACCCATATCATCATTTTAACTAGGTCCAAGTAAGCTTTAGACTAGATTTTGGTGTAAACATAAATACAGAGGGTTAACTGGTAACTACACTTGTAAAAACAACTTGCATATATTAATGTAGTGCCAAATCACTACATGTAGGATTTATGACATCACAGGTGACATGTATGTGGTTAAAAGTGAAGTTCCAAGCAATTGGCATTGCAATGCCAAGGAACTAGGAACTCTGAGAAAGAAATTTCACATAGTGAGATTGCTAAATGAGATATAGCAAAGGACGTAAAACGAGAATAGAAAAGCAGTTATGAAAAAACAAAAACGTATAAAACAGTCACTTTAAGAATTTAAATGGAAATTAAAGTATATAGGACTTCCTTGAAATGTCATAATAATAATTTGGATTTTCTTTTCATTTATTATAATACTGAGGGTGTTATAAGAATGATGTTCTGGGTTTTACACTGCCCTTGGAACTGTGTTCTCCATTGTTGAATTGTTTTTGTTCTATCTGTGTTGATTATGTGCTGTTGCCTGATGCCACAATTTCAATTGTAACAAGCTTCTTCAAAGGGCAGCAAGGCTAGTTTTAGACCACACATCTTAATAGCTTCCACCAACCATCCTCCACAAAATTCATTGGATCTGCATTATGGGACTTGACAAGTATGTGGTAGAAAGGGATTGTTTCAGTTTCCTCAGCTATATTTCTCATAAAAGTATCCATTGATTTTGAAGTGTGGCTGAAGCTTATCAATTCCAAAACCTTGTTAATGGTACCAGGAGATATGCCCAGACTCAATGCAGTGACTTTTTTGGGTCAGAAGCATTTTAATTAAAATTTACAAAATAGCCTTGATAGCAATACTTCAAAATTTCCAATGATGTAAGAGCATTTTTCTCATAAATATATTAGAAAGACTGACAGAATTATGGAGAATAAATATATAACTTTTGATTAATTATAAAGTCATTGGTATACAAAAGTGGGCATAGATAAACAAGTCTTCTCAAATGATGGAGTGGTGGGTGGAGCCAATATGGTGGGTTCACTAAATATCATTATATCTCAGCAAATAGAAAAGGTTGAAGGTTTTTATTTTATATTATAGCTTGCCAATATTGAACATTTTAGTTTCTAATTCATATGAAACTATAGACATATTGTGGGTGTCATAAAATATAATCTGATCAAACCCAGAAGGTCACGTACCATATGATATATAAAGACCAATATTCAGCCTTTTTTTTTATATTTAGTTTGAAATTAAGAAACTAACTGATGTGTAATACTAAAATTTGAATTATAATCTACAATTTGATACCAAACTTATTGACATATAAATATTAGGTAAATAAAAAGTTGAAAGTAAATCTACAAACATGATGACATGCCCTCTGACCCCTACCCGTCTTGATAGGGTTAAAATGATTTTTTTTTTTAAACTTAACAGTCTGGTAGGATTAGTTAATGTTTTAGACCCAAATACAATTTAGTTAGAAAGCCTGATAAATTACAGTGGATTTTTGTGGTATTGGTGTAGTAATTTACAATTTTCTTGTATTCCAAAATGCTTACATGAAGTCTACAAAAATTATTATTTTTGCATCTCCACATGTGAATTTGGACGAGGCTTAGCAAGTATGGCTTACGAGTGCAAACAAAGACTTCATTGCATCATTAATAGTAGAGATCATTGTTTTACAATTATTTTTTATTTACTCTTTTATGTTTGAAGAAAAATTTCAGTATTTCTTTGAAAACATTAGTTATATATATATATATGTAATGTATGATAGCCAATATGTTACTGTATTTTACAAAGAAAGAACTTGTGTTATTTTTCTACTCATTTACATCGAGGTAGAATAAAAACAAAATATACAAAACTAAAGACTTGGCAATTCCAGAAAAAGTTTATTTTTGTAATTTGAGAAAGTCAATGAAATAAACTTATCACTGATAAACTGATCTTAACACATGAAAAGGAACATCTTTACATAAAAGTGTATAGATCAAGGAAAATCTGTATAAAAACGTTTTAATACAAAACCAATATATATTCAATACAAAATAAGAAAAAAATACAGAAGTTTTAGAACATAGTTCACTTTCAAATAAAAAGTAATCACATATATGGAAAACAATGTACATACAAACTGTATGAAGTAATGAAAAGTTGTACAAGAACACATGAAAATAACATAATTACTGTGCATGCAAAAAAAGTATACATCAAGGAAAACTTGAACAAAAATATTTTGTTAATAAAAACCAAAAAATATATTAAGAAACAGAGGAAAATGAAATTCTAAAAACTTTTAACTTTATTGAAGAACAGCAGTAGTATGATATTCTACAAAGTATTTGTTGCAAAGAAACTTATTATAGAGTTTACTTTTCATTTGTATCTTCTTGTTTGTAAGACAGAGTCTTCACATTTTTATTGATTAGAGATTCTATATATGTTATAAATGATGATTACTTACTTGCAGGTAATACTTTGATTGAACTTGCAGTTTGCTGGTGAGTCATTTGTTTTTAAAGTTACAATCAAGAAGGCTAAGCCAAGAACAGTAGCCCAACCAAAATGAGCCATAGTTATATTACTGGAAACTACAAATTTATTGGTTGCTGTGTAAGCATGGTGATATAAAAAAAGGATGTTCATAAACATTTTCACACATTTACACCTACACCAACACTAAATCCCGAACACCAAAGAAGATAACTAGCATCCAAATGCTTAAAAAGTTTATTGGATCGGATACAACTGTGTACAGAGCCACATCATAAATATTTTTTCTAACTTTTATAAAGTACTTTAGACAATTCTTCTTGCAAACACTGTACTGTAAAGAAGCCGGCAAATTCTACCCCACCTTATTTTTGGAGCCGGCATTCAAATAGATTCTGTACAATACATCCACTTATTGACTTATTGGATTGGCCAAGACTTTCTACAAAGTCATAACATAAACATTTTATAATACTTTAGATAATTGTTGTTGAAACTACTATACTGTCAACATGTTGGTAAATCCTACCCCATTGTGTTTTCAAAATAAGGAAAGTTATGGGAATTGCACAGCATGATCTTATTTGATATTGACAGTGTCAAATTAAGTAAGGAGTGGCAGTTCATTGCTTTATATTTGTCAGGTTTCTACATCAGCCGCTAACTGTAGGTAAACATAGGAAATAGGTGTGAAAAGATTAGAAGAAACTCTCAAGAATTTTACTTTGGAACTTAGTAATCCATACTGATAAAAGACAGACAGTACTGTTCATTTTGTTTTGGCTAGTTTCTAATTCAGCTGCTAACAATAAAATTACTACAGAAAATAAGTGTGAAAAGGTGAGAAGTATAAACTCTTTGTAACTTTATGATCAGTATAACAATACTATACATTTTATTTTGCACATTGCAACCTTTATTTTCATTATACAACCTGAAGAATCAAGTATAATGTTACAGTAGAGGAAATAACAGATAAAATATAAAGTTTTAATGAAAAGAATGTTTGATATTT